CAGAAGGACATGTACAAAGCTCGTAGTGAGCAAAATGATGAGGCCCTCAAGGACCTCCCCGTCCTCCAAGTCGAGCCGGAAAAAAGCTCAAAAGGAGGCCTTGCCGTTGAAATGGGAGCATGTCATTCTGGTCGAAAAGGTAAGGGTGTTTGATATTAATAACGAGAGGATAAGCGCAACTTCTAACGCCACAACCTCGCAGGTCAAAGAGAAGATAGACCTGATCGACCAGCTTAGGGCCAAAATGAACGAGGTCAAAGCCTCGACCGGGGAGTTGAGAAGCAAAATGGATCTCTTGGCCTCAGAAAAGGATGCCACCAAAAAGGATTTGGAATCGGCCAAGGACCGGCTCCGAGTGACGAAGGTTAAAGCCGACAAATGGTCTCGGCTGAATGATGAGCTCCTAGCACAATTGGACTCGATCGTCATGGAACGGGATGCCCTCGGCCGGGAGTACACCGCACTGAAGTCCAAGTTGGAGGTAGTTTTGAACGAGTCCTCCAAGGTTCAGGATATGCTGGCCCAATATAAGAACAATGTGGAGATGGCCGAGGCCTGTATTATAATAAAGGTCGAGGCATGTATAATAACAAAGGTCGAATACATGAAATGGCTATCTTGGAGGGAGACTCTCGAGGAGATTCATGTCGGGGTTCTATCTAGCGGCCGAGATCGAAGAGGTAAAGAGGCTTGAGGCCGAGGCCAATGCGAAAGAGTGATACGAGCAGGAGTGTTCGGGCAACGAGTCAGGCCCTGGCGAAGACTAGGCGGGAAATGCCATAGTTTTTATTTTTTGCTTCCCTTGTATATTTTTTCTTTATTTTGGGGTCGCTTCACAGTGCCTCTGTAAATATATTTCGGTACATATATATAAAAATTACTTCGGCTATATTGTGTCCTTTACTTTCTAGTATTTTCTTTATGTTCGAGATTTGTACCTCGTATTTCAGTCTTCAAAATATGCCATCGATGCCTTAGCATAGAATTGGACATAAGTTAGACTGTTCGTTTTTCCAAAGCCCGGATGAGGCCTGGGTCAAGTAACAACTCCGAATTGCTTCAAATTCGGAGGATCCGATAAAAATGAAGTCTTTCTTAAAATAATTGAATGTTTTAATCGGACACAATTATTTCTTGTCGAAGGTGGCTCATTCCATTACCGGGTCTGCAGTAATCTTTCATAAATTAAAAAAAATGTGTAAGGAACTTACTTTTTGTGTATGGACTTGGAAGTCTACAAGCCGTTTAAGTTGGCCGTAGCCTTTCATGCTTGGACCCTACCTAGTAGGCTCGGTGCCTTCGGAATTCGATAGCCCGAATTATCCAATCTTATTATCGGATAACAGTTTCCGATTTGGGAAAGTCCGTAGGCTTAAGGGTTTTGAACCCTATATTTACTCTAAGTAACTTAATGATAATATCGCTGGTGGGAATGTGAACTAATGAAACATAGAAGGTAGACTTCTTTTAATACTTTGAATGTAGAGTACATAACCGAAGGTACAAAAAGCTTTCTGCCATGGGGAGAGTGAGCTACACGTGCACAGTTCGATTGACTGTTTGACCGTTATAATTAATTCTAATATTCAAGTCTTGGCTTTCAATATAGAACAAATAAAAAAATACCTTCTAAATTTTCGAACTCAGGATCTCGACTTAGGGTGTGATGGCCCCCTAGTATTCAAGATTGAACTTGTGAGGGCTCGAATACTATTGGTCTAATGCGGGTGATTTGCAGTCCCGAATTCAGGACAATATTCAAAACTTGGGTAGCATGTTTTACTGTTGACTCGTTAAAAAACTTGCCGTAAAATCCACTTTGGAAAAAAGCCTATCCAAGAGAAAAAGAGCGCAACACGTACTTTTAGACCTAGTCTTCAAGTTTGACCTCGACTAAGTACCTGCACGGGTTAGTTCAAAGCATAATAAACTACAAAGGAAATTGTGTTCGTACCTTAGCAGCAGTACCGCTTTAAGTGTGCCACATTCCAGTTGTTGGGTAGTTGTACACCATTCCCGGGCTCGAGCTCATATGAGCCTTTTCCGGTTATACCGGTGACTTTGTACGGCCCTTCCCAATTCGAGCCTAGTCTCCCGTCAATCAGGTTCTTAGTATGTAGTGTAACTTTCCTCAATACCAAGTTCCCGACTTGAAATTATTAAAAGTTTACCTTTCGGTTGTAGTATCTCCCCATTCATTGCTTTTGGGCTGCTAACCGGACCAAGGCGGCTTCTTGCCTTATGTCTGATAAGTCTAAGCTCGTGGCCATGGCCTCGTTATTTAACATCTTTGTCACGTATTGGAACTTTAGGCTCGGTTCTCCTACTTCTGCCGAAATCAGAGCTTCCACGCCATAGACTAAAGAGAATGGTGTTGCACCGGTGCTTGACTTCGAAGTCGTTCGATATGCCCACAAGACCTCGGGCAAAATTTCTTTCCACTTTCCTTTTGAGTCGGTCAATCTCTTCTTCAGGTTCTAGAGTATATTTTTGTTTGTTGATTCCGCTTGACCGTTCCCACTAGGGTGGTAGGGTGCTGACGAGATCTTTTTGATTTTGTGGTCTTCGAAAAATTTACTAACCTTGCCGCCGATGAACTTTCTCCCGTTGTCGCATGTGATCTTGACCAGTATCCCGAATCGACATATTATATGATCCCAGATAAAGTCAATATAGTTAAAGGACAAAATTTAACTTTTATTGCTTTGATATGCATGCGAACAATGGTTTTAAAATGAAAGAGTTCTCCCCTTTATATAGTAGAGGGGTTTTAATCCTAGTACAAGTCTAAATAAGGTAATAAATCTTCTACATCTAGTAAACGTTGATCTGCAGCTGATATCAGGCGAGATTTGCGATGTAACATCCGGTTGAGGGCGGATATTATGGCTCCCCGCTTATCTCGTCTAACCGTCCTTTCCCTTAGTCTCGTCCCTTCATTCTACTCGGACCCGATGCTCAGCCGTATCTGGTCCCGGGTGCACCATTCATCCTCACCGGGCTCTGAGATGTAGAACCCCTCGGCTTTACTCGAGGTCATGTCAGATCGTGCTTCCTTCTCGTTTGTTTACCGGAAAATAGGGATAACTTTATCCCCGATTTTACCCGTACAAAGAGGGAGTTAACAATTTCATATTATATATATATATATATATAGATAGATGTTTTGTTATGCCCAAGTTTTTGAAGCGTTTTTCTGTTCTTGTTATGCGCAGTGACATAGGTAGAATTTTTTAATAAGAGATGTAAAAATATAAAAAAAGTAAATATACAAAGAAAATTAAATATTTCTGATAGGAAATATACAAGCATCTTTGGTCCACCCCAGAAAAACAAACAAAAGAAAGAAAAACGAATTCTTGACCTAATAATATTATCTTTCTCCACGTTGTTCAGGAGTGAGTCCTCCTTTTCCACAAACTGGACAACTCTTCATACCAAACCCTTGGCAATCAAAGCACCTACAAAATAAGATTTTCAAGTTTTTAAGATCAACCAAATACGACCCAGTGTTTTTCTTTTTTCTTTCTCCACTTTGAAAAGAAAACTTACTTCCATCTTTCAAAGATGTTCCCATTCTTCTTATTCTTTCCTGTCCCCTGGATCCAAAAAAAAATAAAAAATTATGCCTTACTTTTTAAAAAGTCTTGTAACACTTAATAAGAATGGATAATTTTAGTCTTCTTTCTTTGTTTATTCCATTTCTCTCTCTGAAAGAGTTGTTAATGCATCTTTTGTATTTTTTCTTGAGCCGACGATCTATTAGAAATGATCTCTCTATCTTCTTAAGACAGTAAAAATAAGATTTGTGTACACATTACCCTCTCCAGACTCCACTTATGAGATTACACTGGATTTTGTTGTTGTTGTTGTTATTCTTTTTCTCTGAAAAGACACTACATTTTCATTTTACAATGTAATATTAAAGGATTTAATCAGATAAGAGTACCTTACATCCAGGACAATCTATAGCACCTTGACCTCCGCAATTTTCACACCTATTCACAATCTGCAAGTTTCATTAATTTAAATCAAAACGTTCAATAACTCCAATAAAAATATTTTGCAACTAAATGAACTCATTTATAATGAAAGCCTTGGAGCAATGGTCAAGTTGTTTCTTTATAAACTATATATATAGGTACGTGTTCGGGGTCGTGGAATCAGCCACTAATGTTTGCCACTAATGTTTGCATCGGGATAGGCTGCCATATCACACTCTTTTGGGGTGTGGCCCTTCCACGGACCTTGCGTGAACGCATGATACTTTGTGGACCTGACTGCCCCGTGAACTATTTTTGAATATCCTCAATCCATTCTTATAATTAATATGTTAACGCAATTATGTTATGTCACCATACATCTTACCTCTAATTCTCAATCTTGAAATAACGAAAATTTGCACATGCAGTCTAAAATTATGAACTGAAGAGGTGATCAAAACACGATCGATCTGGACAACAAATTAAGATTTACCAGAATTTCAATAAGGAAATATATTTGAATAAAAGAGAGTTAGAGACTCACTGATTTAAGAGAAAAACCACCAGATTTTGACGCAGAAGTAATAAATCTCTGGCGCCTCAGTGGATTATTTCCCTTGTAATAATCAGTTCTGGTATTACCGTGTGAAATTAGAGGAATATTTGGTGTAATTGAAGGTTTGGCAAAGCAGCAAGATGTGGAAAAACTAGCCATTTTTCTTTGTTGACAGTCTTTTCATTTAATTTTTGTGCTTCTTAATTAAAGTGGAAATGGATAACGAGCTTACACCACCCACATATTCTTTGACGGTCCCTTATCCATCAATTAGCTTTGCATGGGCATGTTTTTCTAATTGGATTAGAGTTATACTACAATTACTATTAAAAAATAGCTACAAACTTCTCGCTAAATCGTTTATAACGAATAAAATTTCTTAATATGTCGCTAAATTAAATTAGCAACAAATTAATCCGTTTAGCTACAAAATTTGTTTGTCGCTAATTCTTGTCTTTTTATGTGATGACCCAAAAGGTCATCTTATGTTTTAGAACTCGAATATGTGCTCTTAAGCCTTAAAATCGTATTTTTACCCTCCTAGATTTGTGTGCGCAGTCCGGGCAGGTTTCCGAAAAGCTTTTATGTTGAAAACTAATGAAAATAAGAATGTTTGCCTTAAAAGTTGATTGTAGTTGACCTCGGTCAATATTTTTGATAAACGGACCCGGATTCGTGCTCTGATGGTCCCGGTAGGTCCGTATCGAATTATGGGACCTGGGCGTATGCCCGGAATCGAATTTGGAGGTCCCTAGCTTGAGTTATTAATTTTTGATGAAAATTAAAAGTTTGGAAATTATTTGTTTTTAAGAATTGATTGATATTTGTCATTGTTAGTATCGGGTCCGTATTTTGGTTTCGGAGCCCGGTACAGGTTCATTATGATATTTAAGACATGTTTGTGAAATTTGGTGAGAAATGGAGTTGATTTGACGTGATTCGGACGTCCAGTTGAGAAATTAGAAGTTTCAAAGTGTTCTTGAGAAGTTCATTTGATTTGGTGCTAAATTTAGAGTTCTAGGTGTTATTTTGGCGATTTGATTGCGCGAGCAAGTTCGTATGATTTTTTGGACTTGTGTGCATGTTTGGTTTGGAGCCCCGAGGGCTCGGGTGAGTTTCGGATAGGCCACGAGATGTTTTGGACTTGGGAAAAATCTAGTTTCTGCAGATTCTAGTGTCTGTCATATCCTCCTTCGCGTTCGCGAAGGTCCTCTCGCGAACGCGAAGAGTAATCTGATGAGGCTGAGACTTCTTCTTCGCGAACCCGAAGGCCTGATCGCGAACGCGAAGTGATGGGGGATTTACCCTTCACGAATGCGACTGGCTCAACGCAAACGCGAAGCATGTGGGGACCTGGGGGGGAGGGGGTTAGGTCGTTCCTTCAGCGCGAACGCGAGCCATTCCTCGTGAACGCGAAAGCCAGAGGGGAGTGATCATCGCGAACGCGAGCTGGGTCACGCGAACGCAAAGGCTTGGCAGCCAGTACCCTTCGTGAACGCGACAGAGCTCTAGCGAACGCGATGAACACTGTCGCCCATCACTTAACAGAACCCAAAACGGGAATTTTGCCAAAAAACTCATTTTTCTCAAAAACCAAACGGTAAGGGGCAATTTTTCAAGAGTCATTCCTTCCCCAAATTGTTGGTAAGTGATTCTAAACCATCTTCTTTCAATTACCCATTAGATTTCTTGAATTTTCAACCTAAAATCTAGAGTTTTCATGTTAGAATTAGGGGTTATGGTAGAAAATAGGGATTTCAGGAATTTGGGGATTTAGACCTCAATTTGAGGTCGGATTCAAAAATTAATTACATATTCGGGCTCGGGGGAGAATGGGTAAAAGAATTTTAGTCCGAACCTCGGGTTTTGACCAAGCGGGCCCGGGTCGATTTTTCAACTTTTTGGAGGAAAATTTGGGAAATTTAATTTATGCAATATAATTGGCTCCTTTAGCAATATTTGATATTATTGAGTCATTTTTGAATAAATACGAGTAGTTTGGAGGGAATTCCAAAGAAAAAGCTGTGATTGAGAATTAAGTGGCATTCGGAGTGAGGTAAGTGTTGTGTCTAACCCTGACTTGAGGGAATTAGGAACGTTAGATTATTTGCTAAGTGAAATTCATGTGAGCGGCGTATATGTGAGGTGACGAGTACCTATGCGTCGCCAATTTACATGTTTTTCCATGTTTCTCTATTTTTCTGGTATTATCTCATTCCTATGCCAAATTGCTACGTGTTATACTAGTGTTGTTCAAATTATCGTTCTTATCACGTTTACAGAATTTTCTGGTGATAATTGAGTTTTCATTTCAAGTTGAGATTTATATTATGAAACCAAATGTTGAAGTAAGGTTTGTACTTGTTATTCTATCTCCATGTTGTTATTTATACATTGCATTATGGTAAGGGAGAGTATTAATGCACGAAGGGTGATGCCGTGCCATATTGTGAGTAATAATGCACGAATAGTGATGTCGTACCATATTGTGAGTGTTAATGCACGAAGGGTGATGTCGTGCCATATTGTGAGTATTAAAGCATGAAGGGTGATGTCGTGCATTAACACTCACAATATGGCACGGCATCACCCTTCGTGAGAGTAATATCACGAAGGGTGATGCCGTGCCGTTTCTATTAATTTATGGTGAGATTGAGAGTAAAAGCACGGAGGGTGATGTCGTGTATTTTTCTTTACTGTATTCACTATTCCTGTTGATTCATGGTATATTGACTGCTCCGGTGATCATTCTATTGTAGTTCTTTATCTTGTATTCCCCTCAGTTTGTCTCCCCTCCCGACATTTCCTGTTTAGTTCTTCATTCCTGTTATTTGCGTATACACTGTTAAATTATACAGGTTGATTGTAGGTGCCTTGCCTTAGCCTCGTCACTACTTCGTCGAGGTTAGGCTCGACACTTACCAGTACATGGGGTCGATTGTACTGATGCTGCACTCTACACTTTCTGTGCAGATTTTGATACCGGCTCAGGTTGATCGAGATTTGTTATTGGTCCGCTGACCGGAGACTCAAGGTAGATTTGTCACCGTTCACAGACCTTGAAGTCCCCGTCTATCTTTTTATGTCCTACTATTTTCTTTCATTTAGACAGTTGTATTTCTTTCAGACTATTACTTGTAGTAAATTCTAGAATGCTCGTGAATTGTGACTCCAGATCCGGGTGGTAGTAATTAATACAGTTTTATTATATTCCGCACTTATTATATTTCATTTTAGTTAATTATTGTTATTTATTGAATGGAAATAAGGAATTGGTTTAATAATTTTCTAACTTTGGCTTGCCTGGCAAGTGAAATGTTAGGCGCCATCACGGTCCCGTCGATGGGAAATTTTGGGTCGTGACAGTTGGTATCAGAGCACTAGGTTACATAGGTTTACGATTCACGAGCAAGCTTAGTAGAGTCTGGAGGATCGGTACGGAGATGTCTGTGCTTATCTTCCAGAGGCTATAAAGTTTAGGAACAAGTTTCACTTCTATTCTTTATTGTCGTGCGATTTTGCTTTCTCAACACTGATTTAACTCTTCTACTCTTATTCTCTCGCAGAT